ATGTTACCTTTATTTAAAATTATATGCTGCCAAACTCCAATGATTGGAGACAGCTACCGATAAACATAAATAAAATACCATATACAAAGAGTGAAGATGGAAAGAGCAAAAAAAAAAAAAACCCAACAGGAACAAAATAAACAAATCCACATAATCCGAAAGGAAGGGGGCCTGCTCACGCTTGCTAAAGGCCTGGGTGAAGGCCTTCAAAACCCTTTCAAACAACAGCAGGTGGGGGCTGCCTAGATCTTGGAGGGAACCTTATTCCAGAGGGCAGGTACTGCTACAGAGAAGGTGTGCTTGCTGCAGAGGTCGTGGTAGATGGTATTGTTTAATCAAAAGAATCCAGAGTATGCCAACTCTGATGTGATTCAATTGGCTGGGCAGATATTATGGAAAACATGCTATCCCTCAAGTAACCAGGCCCTAGGCCATTTAGGACTTTATAGGTAACAACCAGCACCTTGAATTACACCTGGAAGCAAACTGGCAAGCAGTAAAGCTAACAAAATTGATGTGACACAGCACACTGAGGCATACACATTGAAGCTTATGTTGCTGCATTCTCAGCCACCTGAAGCTTCCAAGTAGTCTTCAAAGACAGTCATATATACAGTATGTTGCAGTAGTCAGTAGTCCTTAAAGACATTTAAAGACTATATCGGGACAGAAATCTTGGTACTATAGTTGCATAGACACAAGAGGAAAGGACAAATGGATAGAGTTTTCATGGCAGAATATGATTTAGATGTGTGTTTTCTTCTGAACAAGCAGAAAGAGATATAAAGTGATAAGTAACACATAATGTTATAACACATTGCATTTTCAAGAGAGTTCGGAAAGACAATCATGACGTTAATAAATGGATCAAAGAAAAACAAATGGCTACTATTACTGAGATGGCTGAAAAGAATGGAAGCACATTATCTTTCTGACAGAAAAACAAAAATAAAGACTTGTAATGGAAGTAGGGGCAGAATCTGCCTTAGTAGGACAGATGCAGGGACGTGCAGTCAGGGGAGGCAGGGGAGGCAGGGCCTCACCACTGTCATCATGAAAAGAAAAAAATGTAAAAGGAAAAAGGCTCAGCTAGTTGCTGCCAGAGTCACCGTGGATGACTCTGCTTAGTGCTTAACTGTTTAAAAAAGCCTCTAAAAAACCGCCCTCTACAGGAGGAGGCAGGAGAACCACGTGCCTCATCTAGTCTGACTTTATGATCACTCGAGCAGAGTTAAGCAAGGGTTAAAAGCCAAACAATTCCTGACGTAGATGAGGCACGTCGTTCTCCTGCCTTCTCCTGTAGAAGGCATTTTTTAAGAGGCTTTTTTAAACAGTTAAGCACTAAGCAGAGTCATCCACGGTGACTCTGGCAGCAACTAGCTGAGCCTTTTTCCTTTTACATTTTTTTCTTTTCATGATGACAGTGGTGAGGCCCTGCCTCCCCTGCCTCCCCTGACTGCACGTCCCTGACCATGTCCTAGTTCTGTGTCAACTCATGTTGGGTTCT